CAGTGGTAGAATGCTCTCCAACCATACATGTATTATGGGGTTCGATCCCCGGCTGACAAACTCTTACACCTCGCCTAGTTGGCAGTAAGTCCGGTAAATAGGGAAGACTGAATGTGAGGCTTGTATTCTCAACCCGTAAGAAGTAAACAACATTGTTACTAAGACTTCAGAGCTCGAGCCTGAAACCCTATGATCTACTCAGGACACAAGAAGGAATAAAATAACATAATAAGTAAGACACTCAAATGTTTGGTGGTACTTTTGTTTCTATCTATGTAAAAGAGATGGATTTATTTAATTAAGTCATCCTGTCCACACAGAAATTAAGAAGCAAAGGACAGCGAAAAATTAACTGGCCGATTAATAAAGAGCATATCTTACGCAAGGACAATACCCTGATTTATCTGTCGATAAGCTATATTGGCTAAATAACTTGATCTCAAAAGTTCCAACTTTTCCAACATATCATCAGCATTGCTGACTACTTAGTGAAATCAACCCTCAGAATTCCTACACAGGTTGAAATCAACTGTGACCAGTTGTCTTCAAATGCTTCGTTGTTACTTCATTCACCCATATTCATGCTAATTGATTCAATAACCTCATATGGTTGCCTTCCACTGATATCTCTTCTCTTAATGTTGACTAAATGACTATTCTCAAGTATTGGATTTTGTAGTGATTTAATTTGATTGGTCGGAAGATTTCATCATGAACTGAAATCAATTAGAGAACCATTGGAAAACCTGCAAGGAGTACTGCCAGACAGTCATTTCATCCCAGTTTGGGACTCTTCACAGTACGCGCCTACCGAGGTTGGAACCCAGGACCTTCTGGGCTACAAGGCCAGTGAGCTAGTACACCATTAAGCCATTGGGACCCACCAATCCAATGGCCAGTGTATGAATTCCAACTTCTACCAATTCATGACATAATGGGACCACTCAGCAGTGTCTTCTTCGATGAGTTACTGCCTCATCTTCAACCCTACTAGTCATAAATTCCCACTGTTGTTTAAAAGGTCAGATATCAGGTCATAGGACCTTTCGAAAAGACTGTAAGTACACGCATTATGAATAAGCCTCTAGTATTGTCAAAATGTAGTGAAACTTATGCGGGTAGAAATCTCTTTACTCATTTACGAATTCTTAAGACCTTACTACTTACTAAATGGAGTGCTTATAATGATGCATGGAGTAAGATATTAAGCCTTTCAACTCAAAGCACTTGAAAAAGTAAAAGATCAAAACCCTTCATCTTAGCCGAGGAAATATATATACCACTGAATTATTTTTATCGGCGCATCAGTGTGTGTGTATAAAAGTCAATAATTCACTTAATGATAAATTAGGTGCCTATATGGCACACAAATAGTCAACATTAATAACATTAAAAACAGCAATATGCGTTAGAGAAAAGTTATTTTGTTTTTTTCTAGAATACAGAGTGTATGCTGTACTCCTTATAACTAACTAGTGCGGCATTCCATTAAATACAGCAAATATTGCATATAATCATGATTTTACTATAGTTGAAATTGTTAACGACAGATAGTGGAATTCATTACTGTCACGTGTTCAATGTTAAGAAAGAGTAAGTAGAAGGAGGCATAGCAATTCGTAATAATATTAATAATAATGCATAAAAGCCATTCTAATGCTAAGCATTTATTACCAGTTGACATTTAAACTTAAAAGAATGAGAGGAGAAGGAATATCTTTAGATGAGTAGTAATTTTATATATTGCTTTATAAAAGGTATACGAAACTGCGCTGAACAGGTTACATGTAATTACGTTGGTTATTTAATATCTTATTTAAGCATCTAGATTTTATTTTTAAATGAGTATTTAGGTGTATCATGATATAAGCATGCTTTCCATGAGTTCAGTTGTGCCTCATTTTCTGCAATGAGTGTGTGGAAACAATGGTCGTTTCACTTCCGATTCCTTTTAAATCCTACTTTTTAAAGCTAAAGAGTTAAGTTTAATTGAATTTTTAGATTTTCCCGTCGATTGATTGAACTGAAGTGCTCGGTTGCTGGGAAATGCAGGTACATCCAGCTGGCGAGTCCCAAATAGGACGAAATGCGTACCTTGGATTCCACTGCTAGTCACCATCCACCAATTACAGTCTGATTAAATGCCTGGACATCGTCGAAGCATCTGCACAAGAAGCCGACATGTCAACCTGAAACCAAGCACTTCATTCCAATCAATTGACGCGAAAATCTAAAAATTTAATTAAATTAATATGACCCGTTGCACAAGAGGTGGCTCAAGTGGCTCAGATGGTCTTGTGGATAACGCTTTGGCGTTTGGAACTATGGGCACTGGGTTCGAGCTTCAGTGGGAACATCATCACTCACTGAGTAATACAGGTACATCCAGCTTGCGGACGAGTCCCAAGTAGGACGAAATGCGCATCCTGGATTCCACTGCTAGTCACCATCCACAAATTATGGACAGTTAAGTATTATATCGCAAGTACCTATTAGTTGGATTGTCTTTTAAGTTTATCCTGTCCACCGTGATGTCATTATTATTATTCCCTTAGGTTCCGAGCGGAAAATATGGCTTCAACAGAACATCTCCATTTTGTCCTGTTCTCTGCTGACCCCACGATTACCTACAAGCTATCATCTCCTCCACATCACCCTCGGACGCTCAACTCAGCGTTTTCCATTGAGGTTCCACTCAAGTGCCAGCCTGAGGCACGACGACTTCATTCGACGTTCTCCTCAATGTGTCTAGTCCATCTCCGTTTCTTCCGGAATATTTATTGACCAATGGGTTCTCCATTTGTTCGTCTCCAGAAATTCTTGTTTCTAATTCTTTCTGACCATCTGATCTTCAGTATACAGTCAGCGAAGGCGGCTGTTGATAAAGTCTAAATCAACCTGTTGGGGATGCTGTGAGTGACGTGCCAAGTTTTTGAGCCAGATAGAAGCACTGATTTATCGAAAATCAGTGTTGAAAGTTCGAATTTTGTTTTTTATTCTGAGTGCAGAAGATTTTCAAGCTGATTTCAGGGTGATGAGGGTCTGTCTTACTTTTCCCACTCTTATATATGTGCTGCTGCCTGTAGTTGAAACGATAATAAGATAATTGAAGGAAGTTACCTCTTTCAAATTTCTTCTATTGTTAGCGATTGGTGCTTTTTGTTGTCATTTGATTATTTTCATCACCTCTGTCTTCTCGATGTTCACTTGATGTCCTATGTTTACCGCTTCTTCTGCCAGTTTGTGTCCTGAGCTGCGATTCCAACTAAATATTTAAGCATTCACTACTCAGGATGCCACCAAAAGTCGTTGTGTCCGGAAAAGCTGAGAAGAAGGCCTCCAAGATGAAGGTGCCAAAGGTTGACAAGAAGAAGAAGAAGCTTAGGAGGAAGGAGAGCTATGCAGTCTACATCTACAGAGTTCTCCATCAAGTGCATCCCGACCCTCGTATTTCTTTCAAAGCAATGTCAGTTATGAAACCATTCGTAAATGACCTCTTTGAAAGAATTACAGCTGAAGCCAGAAAATTTTTTGTCTTTCTTTGGCGTACCATTTTGCAGACTGGTTTCAACTTTTAACTTTCCTCTAATATGAACGATTCCCTAAACTCCGGAGAAGGTCATGAGCATAACTTTACTTTTTCAGGCCTAAAGTTACTTTCCTCCTTTTCGGCATCGTAAATCAATTCAAAAGTACTTCTATCTTTTGGCTTTCTCTTCATATGTGAGCAATATTTCAGTGTTATTTCCTTCAAGAGTGAGTTTTGTTTACCTGGCCTTCATTATTTCTATTCCAGTTTCCGTAGCTGTATTTAAATAAATAATATTCAGCAAAGCAGTTGGCTTCTTTTTTATTGTCCTCATGAACACAATGGGGACTTCGTTTATTGTGATATCTCTTCTTTGATATCAATACTTTTTGAGGAATTTGTCATTATCAGGTTACCTTTGAAAATGTGAACAGTTTAGATGAAGAAAAAGTAAAAGAGGTTGCAAGACAGTTTTTTTAAAAATTCAGAAATCAAGCAAACAGAAAGTTAACGAGAAAAATCCCCGCAATATAAAACACTGAAAGATCGGGGATAGGATTAACGAAACATCCAGTTGGAATGCATGTTTAATTATCAACAGCGAAATTCAAAGAAGTAACCAGTTCATCCCCACTTCATTAGGATGTCGCTGAGTTCATCAATCGGGAACCAGTTTGGAAATTTTCTGCACTCACTCAACACAAATGTGAAGTCAGTCAGTGCTTTTATAAAGGTCAGAAATTTGGTTGTCATATCACGAAAAGGGTTTCCAACAACCTGTTACAGACTTTTATCAACAACTACCACCTTCTCTGGCTCCATAATGAATATCAAATGATCGGTCGGGTGGTCAGAAAGAATTAGCAACAAGAACTTCTGTCTGGAAACAAATCAAGCAAGCAAGGGCCGATTGCTCAAGAAATATGTAGGTGAAAATGGAGGTAGGTGAGTCATACGTTGAGAAGGCCACCAAATGACATCGAGCCCAATGCAGTCCATCGCTCTAATGGAATACGAATAGCAGGCGACTAGTGGGTGCTCGGTGCGAGGGTGACATGCAGGAGATCGTGTGTTGGAGAGGGGGGTGTGTGGACCCAAATGAAGAGGATAGCAGAAAACAGAACAAAGTGGAAATGTGTTGTTTAAGCCCTATGTTCCACTCGAAACCCAAGGGAATAATAATAATTATGTTCTAAGCTTCTGTAATCAAAATAAACAGTATTTTGTTGTTTGGTGTTATATTATTGCCTAAAAGTGTTTAGAAAGGCATACACGAAAGAGAAATGATGAATACAGATATCTCTCATTCATGTTTGGAAGGTCTTAGCGTTCCACAATTTCATTCAATCCTGTATGGTAAGATTGATGAGCCGGTAATGTTACTTGATTGTTTCTGGAGATAACTTACAGCCTCAACTGTTTATTAATTAAAATGCTCAATCTGTAGTGATTTTTGTTTTTGTCTTTCCAGATACAGTAGTGTTTGTGAATTGGAAAATGTCATTACACAAAATTATCCAGAGTTAATGAGTCCATTTAAAATTGTTCTACAAGATTTTCGTAAAGAACTTTTACACATAAAAAGGGAAAAATCGAGATTAGAAGAAACATACATGAAGTAAGTAAACAATTGTGATTTCATTTTTCGGTTTATTATGTTATCTAATAAAAAATGTTTATACGTCAATGATTTATTAACAGACTGCTGCTCACCAGCCACTCACAATTGTCTGGATTCAATTCCCGACTGACGTATTCCTAAACCCTGCTCAACTTGTAAAAACAATACCACCACAGCTTAAAACTTGAAGCCTTATGGTCTACTCAGAACTCAAAACGATGAAGTTAAGAAAGGTTTAAATCAGTTTGTCCTTTTTCACCCTATAATTTTTGACATATATTCATTTAGACATCTAGAAAAAACAAAATAATTGAGCAAAGAATATCCTTTTCGATAATTTCCTCTTCTGGCTCTACAATTATATATACGTTGATATACATAGGATATTTTGGAATAGTCGTCAATAACAATATTGCTGTGTTTTTTTTAAATAATATTGATTTATGGAATTACAGTTCACAAAGAGATGCATAAATTATAATAAGCATAAAAATGTAATAGCAAATAGAATGTCAAATAAAATTAAGGAAATTTCCACAAAAAATTGAACATCATTAGAACCTTGTTTGATAGCCAAGGTAAGGACAGTGTCTGAACCAACCAACTACTTTTGAATACATAAGTTAGGTTTCTTGATGTGGATCCCAACAGCCAGCCTCAGCAATATGTAATAGACGAACTCTTAAGGTGAAGTTAAGATTTCATTATGAATAAAATTTATTCTGATAAAGTCTCACTGTGATATACAGTAATATTTACTGATGACCACGTTTCGAAAGCAATTTATTGCCGCTCATAATCATATCAGGGCACTAACACAACTTTCTAACTTCGTTAACATAATTCCATTATTTTCCATCTCTTGACTTGATTGGTTGTAGTATTTTCTATATTTCTGGTATGAATGATGTTGTGTAGACTCGATGAACACGGAATCAGTAATCAGTCTCTCTCCATCTACCTAGATTACTTCTTCGAATTTTAACCCTCTCCCATTTTATTGTGTGGTTGTGTCTTAATGTATGTAGTACAATCGTTGAGCTTTTTTCTAAATTACTCATCTTCTCGGGGTCAACCACTCTTCTTACCTTAGCCACTAAATTCTTATGTTCCGACAATCTGACTACTCCTGACCTACTAGTTTGATCTATAATGGAATTATACTCTACCATAGTGCACAAGTTCTATTCTTATATCAAGTTAGAACTGAATTATGTTCATTTACATCTCATCTATGGGCTTTTGATCCGTAATCATCTCAAACATTACTAACTACACTTCAGTATTTCTACTCACCGTCAAAACTTCAAGTCACACACATACACGCTACAAACATACTTGTTATTTATTTAAGATGACCATTAAAAATCTAAAAGACTGATTCATGAATAAAGAATATCCTTTTGGAATTAGTGGTGTCTTTTGAGCTGATTGGTTTAATTGCGAAGCTTCCGTCGTCCCCCATCTGGACAAAATCTTCAGCGTACGTTTTAGTATAAAATGAACTGATTTGAATTCTCGATGAATGATACAATTGCGTCTCCTGACAACCATCTTCCTGACTGCTGGTTGATTTAAATCTGTATTGATCATTTTTTCTATTGACTTGGAATTTGAACTTACTTGTCAGCATGTGATTTACTTTTTATCAGACAAGAAAATTCCATTCTTGGATGTCTTAGTGAAGAGAACTAATACATAAAATCTAGAAAGGCAAATATATGTAAAATCAACGCACATAGACCAAATACTCAGCTGTAGTGGTAATTACCCGATTACCCACCAAAGAAACTGTTGGTCAGACATTGTTTAAAAGAGTTCAAACACACCATAGCACTCCAGTGTTGAAGAGAATGGAGGAAAAATACCAACTAACTGGCTTCAAAAAAAAATGGGTATCCTCACAATTTCATTAACAAGTGTTTAAAATCGAGTCACAATACCAACAAGAAATCATCATATCAAAGACTGCAAGAAAATTCATCCTACCGAACATATATAAAATATCTCTGAAATAACAGCTAGAATATTCAAACCGTTTGAAACAGATATAGCACACAAGCCAGCCAACCAGCCAGCCAGCACAATCACTTCATTCGATATTGTGCAAATCGAAACATCCAACAGAAGCAAGAGAAGATAAAATTATTACCATTTACAAAATAAATTGTATGAAGTGTAAGGCATTATATCGGTCTTAGAATTTTAACACTCTGCCACGCCACTGTGTGATTATGTGTTAATGTATGCAGTGCAATCGCTTAGCTTTTTTCTCAGTTACTTATCTTCTCAGGTATATAAAACAAATTATGCCGAATATTCGAATCGAAAGTTCTACACGACATTATTCTTAGGTATGTGCTGATCTTTGATAAGAAAGAAATGATAAAACACGTAAACGTATAGCTATACAAGAAAGATATGATTTCTAATCATCTCAGATACTCTTCAAAGAAAGCTATCATTGGTTTTACTTTTCCATATCCTGATGTAATGGTGTAAGGATGAAATTCTAGTTTGCTTTGAATAATCTCACCAATTTTCAATCTTATCAAGAATTTGGAAATTAGCTTGATTATTTCTACTGGAAAAGAAGATACACTCAGATCCATTCAGTAAACGTGTTAGGTAATATTAAATTTAACTTCAGTTACCAACCTGTGCAAGGAGATTCATCATGCTGAAGTTTCTGTAGCAACTTTGTTTACAGGGTGGAGCTGCTAGCCTCACACTTGAGAAGAGGGGTTGTTACATTAAAATATAGTTTACAGAGAAGCGACCTTGTGGGTTGCTCCCCTTAAAACCAAGAAAACAAGGAATAAAACAATCAGAACAACACCAGAAAAATGAAAATAATTTACAGTAAAAAGGGCAAAATGCGACAACAACAATACAATACAACAACATACAATACAGTTAAGCACAGTTAATTAAAATGATACTGACCTGAGCCAACTTGAACATGTAAATCCCTCAGTATATACAATTATAGATATTAGTTAGTGTTAGACAGTTCCAAAATGGCAGAGAGATAGTTAAAGACATTATCGATCAACAAGATTACATCCACAGATTCAGTGTTTGAAAGGAAAATAATTACAATAATCTTCGAAACTTCTTGGCAAAAAATTCCACAGAAATAAAAGTTTTATGTTACTGCCTGAATGTACGTGAACGGAGGATTTGGATTTCGTCGATGATATATGTCTGATTTCCCACAAACTGGAAGATATGCAAGTGAAAAGCAACAAGTTGGAAGAAGAAGCATCAAAGATAGGACTTCAAGTGAGCATGGATGAAACAGAGGTTATGATGAAGATTTCTGGCCAACAGCAACAGCAGCAACAACAACAGACAATAATCAGCATAAATGGGAGGAACCTGAAAGAAACAACCTCCTTCACTGACCTACCTGGGAAGCATTGTTTCAACTACAGGCGGAACTGACGAGAATATCAAAGCCAGAATCGGAAAAGCAAGACAAACTTTCATTACTCTCAAGTGTGTAGGGAGGTCAACAGCACTCATCGTGAATAATAAGATCCGGATTTCCTTCAACTCCAATGTGAAGTCAGTGCTACTCATTATACGGATCAGAGACTTGGCCAGCGCGTCATAAAGAGCATCTCAAACAAACTTCAGACCTCCATTAACAGCTGTCTTGGTTCAATACTCAAGATCAGATGACTGGTCAGAAAAGATCAGCAACAGATATCTCTGCAGATGAGTGAACCAACCAGGAACCGATCGTGAAACAAATATGCAGGAAGAAATGGAGATGGATCGGCCATACTCTGAGGAAACTATCAAGTGACATCGCTAGACAAACCAATGCTCGAGTGGAACCCGAAAAGGGAGGCAGCGAGTTGGTCGTCAGTGAGAGGGTGACTTGGAGGAGGTGATGTGAAGAGGAGATGAAAGCATGTGGGTAGACTTGGAGCGAGGTGAAGACGTTGGCAGAAAACAGAACGCAATGGAGACGTGAAGCTGAAGCCCAATGGTCCATGAATTCTAACTCCTGCCAATTCACGACATAGCGCAACCATTTCGTAATGTCTTCTTCGATGAGTTACTGCCTCGTCTTCAACCCTACCGGTTACGGCTTCTCAGTGGTTCTCTAAATGATGTCAGCTTATGACGAAATCTTCCAACTAATCAAAAACAAAATCCCTACAAAATCAAAACTTGAAAATTAATCTAATGCCCACTAGCGACTGGCAGTGACCTGGGATTCTAGTGGGAAGCTGTGACCAGTAGGGTACAGCTGGTTGAAGATGAGGCAGTAACTCATCGAAGAAGACATTACGAAATGGTTGCGCTATGTCGTGAATTGGCAGGAGTTAGAATTCAAGGACCATTGGATCGGGTCCCAGTGGGTCAATGGTCTACGAGCTCGCTGGCTTAGTAGCCGGAAGGTCCTGGGTTCGAACCCCGTCGGTGGTGCGCACTGCTGAAGAATTGTTATGTTATCTCTGCATATCAGAAAGGTTGAAATACGACTCTGTGTGTGTGTGTGTGGTTGAAAACTTGCTCTTAAAGTGATCTATGAATACTGTGGTAAGTAAAGTGTCTTCTGAACTTATGAAAATAATTATACGGCATTTTTCCCACAAATCAAATTTCATATACACATATTAAATTCTTTGTAAGAACACAAAAATTCTCTACAGATTACTGTCCACAAACACACACTTTGCATACGGCAGATTGATGACTTTATATAATATATTTTATTTTAATGAGAACTTTTGATCAATTCAGAGATATTCCTCAACTCCAGAGCTACAATATTTATACATATTTGACATTTTTCGTCCAAATAAAGAACAAGAGTAAATACGAAATTTGCAACTAAGTAGCACATGTTGGTATAATTATTATTTCCTTTAACTCCTAGAGGAACATGGGGCTTCAGCTTCACGTCTCCATTGCGTTCTGTTTTCTGCCAACGTCTTCACCTCGCTCCAAGTCTACCCACATGCTTTCATCTCCTCTTC